TGATGAAACCACTTTCATCTTTCATGTTAACTACACAAATAAATTAAGGAGCGATTCATAAAGGTATGAGAGTTAACCTTTGTCGTGCATGTGCAAAAGGAATTCATTTTTCCAGTGATGGGTGCAGTTCCTTAGCATCATTTTAACAGTTCATTTATCTCTTCTGTTTTCACTACCATTGAAACCATTCTCGAAACCTTCCATTTTTTGCGAGAATAATTAAGGAATCGGGTTCAAACTTGCGTTCAAAGGCACCATTGTCAGTCTGATTGCGTTCGAGTACTATCTATCTAAATTAGACAAAACTATGACCATACTCAATGTCAATAGTATCGATCGAGTAGTTCAGTTACCAGTTTTTGGCTCCAAAATGACGCTAGATTTGTACAATATGTTGCACGGATTTTTCCTATCCACTGGTCTGATAAACAATTACGAATTCCGGTTGAAAAGATTTTTATTGAAATATATAGTAAAAACAACGATAAATGTATGTTTTCTTCTTCAATAAGGTGATTTGGGACAAGTACGCTTTTTCCTCAAGAGAGGCATCATATAATCCGAAATTTTCTCACCAGGAAAACAAAATAAAGGTACTTGGAATGCCCAGGTTGTTTTCCCTTTGTTCATTTTTATTCGTGAGGGCTCTGAGACAATTAGACACAAATCGTTCAGTGTTATGACAGAATAGTTCCACTTTCTTCTGCAACTGTTCTGTTTGTGTTTGCATATCAGCCATACACCACTGGCGAATAGCCTCATATGCAGTCGATCCACCGCCTCGGTCACATTCAGTTATCATAGATCTGATTGTACTGCGACTGGTTCGTGACAAAGAGGTATTTCTCGCGGATTGGGTCGCACTGGAGCGTGTGGCAGACAATAACTGGTCGTTGGGATCGAATGCACTGACTTGCGATGTGAGCTCGCGATACGAACGCGAAATGGACCACAGTCCATGTCCAACCTGTTGAACTCCAAGAGTCAAGTTAGTGGGAACGGATTTGGGTCGTTGCTCGGTAATGGGTGTTTGCTTTCGGTAGTCCCTGTAGGTCATAGACAATGGGCATATCCAAGAGGAACGTGGTCGAGCACAAAGAAGCACCTGTGTTTTGATTCGTGGACCGAGAGCTAAAACATGATGCATTGGTGACAAAGTAATTAGTTTTACATGCGTGGCAAATCATTTAGTATCAAAATATTGCAGTAAAGCGTGAGAAAACCATTGCTTTTAACTGAGGCTTACAGGAGTGCATATGGTTTCCAAAGCAGCGCATAATTTTCATACGTTTACATGCATTGCTCAAACTTGTACGACAACAAATTTTGTGCTGTTTGTATATGGTTTTAATCAATTGTAGTTTTGTTTTATTATTTCAAGTTGCCTGTATACTTATCTAATTTCTACGTTCTTTTCGATATTTTACTTGTACTATCATTTGGGGGATGTTGAACAGAATTTCAAGGTCATCTAGCGGTACTCTACGAAATCACTTCAAGTGAAAAAAGAACTAGGTTGTCCTTGTGTCAAACTAAATTTTATTTGACAAGAATTGTGAGCATGTACCTTTCAATGAAGATTTCTTATTGTAGCTGTTACATAATAAGAGTGAGTGTAGAGATCCACAAAAGATAATGATGGCTCTTCAAAAATACCAAAATTTACTGTTTTTGCTATTCTTTTTAGTCCCTTTCTGTTAAAAGCGTGCTACTCTTTTTCAGATAACTAGAAAACATAACGGTTTTAGCGTGAATTCGCTTTCATAAATTTTGATCCCCAAATGGCGGGCTTAAACAAAAGTTTCTCACTAAAATTTCCCAATTCCTGACGAATGAATCAATGCAAAATGTAATCTCAACGTGTCCTGTACGAATACGTGTTGTGTTTTAAAAAGGCAGGATGATGGGATAAATCCATGTATAAATAATAGAAGTCAATACCGTAGCACTGTAAGTAATGACTTCCGTGACAGCGTTACATGCAACCCAGTGGTTGGTCAACACAAATTATCTCAATATTAGTGTTTTTCATGTGTCTCCTTCTCTTCTTGGTTGATATTTTATGCTGCATGTAGCTTTAAATCAAGCTCATTTGTTATTCATGGCTGTAGAATACGTAACGCATAAAGTGTAAGATAGATTTACCAGAAATGCACGTTACTCCTCAGTTGGATTTTTTCTCACCTTGGGTGCTTTATTCATCGAACGTAAATGCCACATTACTTGTTATAAGTATACATTTGCAAATCTATTTAGTTGGGTACTGCTATATTCTATAATACTGAATAATGTACTTTCAGTTTACAAAACCTTCCAGAAGTCATTGACAGTGAGATGTTTGTCTGTTTGAAATCAAAGATTTTCAGATTTCTTAAATGAGTCGGTGATTTACCAACCCGGACAATGACTTTCCGTCATTATAACTTCCTTTTATTGAATACATATTGATACGGTTTTCTAGAAGGGGAAAGCAGCTTACATCAAAGGGATACCATACAACACACAGTGGGCGGTGGTGGTGGTATTCAATCACGCGTCCTCCAGGGTGATGAGTTGATCACGTTGCCACCGCGCCACCACCATCGCCTCTGAAGAATATGATTTAGTCAGCGTGCCCGGGTAGTACAATTATTTCAAGACCTCGATCGGCATAAGTTCATCAACCTAGACGGAGTCCATCAATCCCTGAGTGATCTATTTCCAAATGGCTGGTGTGAATTTAAACGGATTTAATACTCTAATGATATAATCAGTCGAGATCCAGTCCTACTTAGGAGCTTCCGGTTTGGACACTGGAAACTGGATTTCAACCTGGAGGTTGATGATTCTCTAAGCCGGCTACAGTCACATCGCAAAACGACCGAATTTCTCCAAGCACTTGATCAGTATAACAGGCCCAATTTATGAGACTCAAAGCTGGAACGTGGTTACCGAGAACAAAGGAATTCGGGACGGTCTATGTGTACAAAGTACATCTTTCACCTTAAATCAAGTGGAATCACACGGGAGTAGTTGTTTCAGCATATATTAACTTATGATTGTTGGCAAAAACTGACCACAGTAAAATCTAACAAATTAACTAATAAACGAAAAAATATATAATTTGTTTCCCTGTATATTTTGTTGTTGATGTTGATGTTGATGATGTTTTTGTTGTTTTCAATGTAGACATTTTTTTCTGACACAGTTTCACTAAACTCTTGAAATATGTAAATAAAAACAGGCTGATCGGGACACGAAGAAATGTGGTCGATTGGTGGGAGAAACTGCTCAGCAATATTTCAGACATGAAATTTGGAGGAACTATAAGGTTTCGAAGTGTCACGACGTGTCAGATAACGTCACAAAATTGATGAACGTGTACGGCTGACACACAATTGCAAAAAGAGATAAACCAGTGATAAACCCCAGAACTAAATCTTCTCTGTGTGTGTGTGTGTGCGTGTCTAAATTGACGTTGTATGACAAACCAACTTCAAGTCATTCAATTTCCTGCTTTCTTGAAAATAATAATTATTTTTTCAACCCAAGATACAGTAAACTAGGGGTCAAGGTTTGAAACCCCTCGCTAAAATGCTTGATTGCTCTGAAGTAAGAACACATTAACGACATCTCATCGAACAGTGTTGAAACTGCCTGTCTCATGCTTCTCGAGTCAGACAGTCGAACCGACTGAGGGATAGGGGATGACCATTCAAACATCAATAATTTTACTTATTTTGTTTTACTACTCACCAGTAGTTGAGAATCACATTCCAAATTGATCTTTCTCTTTCCGTTTCCTATTCTCAGCCTTTTGTTACTGCCCGAAGCACAGCGGTTATGGTGAATGCGCACCGGTAATTAGATCAGAGTTATTGATAAATACATTATGAACAGTACTGCAGTTCAGCTGTTCATATTGCTATTTTAATTCCCATTCCTATGAACCTAATCCTAACCATTTGTTCCGATACGGCTCATATATCTCAGGTATTACGCTCCATTGTAAAGAATAATGAATGTACCAGGGATTTTGCTGTTCCCATATAACGGTATTCAAAATTTAATGCCAGAAGAAGTTGAGGGCTTTATTCTCTAGTTTGATGTAAAATCTACTACTGAAACTAGCCCACCCACTCGATAGCATGAACATCCAGATTTTAGCCATCACAAGCTCAGTGTGTTTACGCTTCTGATGATTTTTTATAAGAATAAAACGGCTTAGGTTAATTATATTTGTTGATAAGCCTAACACAATGAATGTGGTCCTGATCAGACACTGGTGTAAATTCGCCTCTCAGTTCTGACCAATCCGATCTATAAACTGTCTCCTTAACTTAGAAACTGACCCACGCATGCTGTCATCAGTCGAAGCTCTTACCATCTCCCATCCGATCCTGAATGTTCGTATGCTGACTCGTAGCACGGAAATTATACCTGGTTTACGAAAAACCCGAACATTCAAAATCAGTTTGTTTCCAGTGATAGATGCAACAAAACTTAAACAGGTCTTACGCAATTGCACGTCCCGGTTCTGCGGATGGGCACGTTGGTCTCTCGACTTTCCGTGATTTTTGCTTCTACTACGCTCAATTTGCTTTCCGGTTCGTCTTGAACGTATGGCGGACGAAGTGGACCGATGGGGTTTAGGTTCTGTGGTCTGCTGAAACGCACCATAACCAGTTCGAAAAGGATTGGACGCGATCACCATCTCCCAACGCTTCCAGCTGTCTTTCAACAGATGTCTCTGTTGGTGGAGTCAAATAGTCAAGATGTAATAGAATAATTATTGCGAGTAAACTAATCTCTAAGTGAAGTCATCTGAAATAAATCCTATCCGTCTCATCAAAAAAGCGATCCTGACTGTTCGAAATGAGTTTGTACTGTTTAGTTTAAAAGTGAAGGTCAACACACGCACTACACGCTAGTGATCTCAATTGGTTTTAAGGAGACACTGATTTCACTAAATAAGTTTAGTTATAATTTTTTGATTTGGGGTAATATTTATCAACTGGTTCAAGTCACTATCTAAAACGTGTTCCTAGTAAGCCCACATGGTTGCAGCAGCAGAAAACTAAATGATGCAATAAATCATTTTGGATTTTCATTTTCCTTGTTATGTGCATTCTCATCTTGGTTTTGGTTCTTTTTTGTGATTAAATTGAAGGCACCGTGGGATTCAATTGTTGCAGACAGCGCACATGTCTGATAATTGATTAAATTTCCTAAATATCTTCAAAATAACAATGGTTCCGATAAGTGGCTGCATGTTTCGTATTAATGTTTCATATGATCATTTCTCACATAATCAGAAATCAAAGATCAGCGAATTAGGCTCAGTTAGAAGTCCATTATTTTAGGCTTAAACTTTGACAGTAAATGCACCTATGAGTCAGCTGATTAAAAACCGACTGACTGACTGACTGACTGACTGACTGACTGACTGACTGACTGACTGACTGACTGACTGACCGACCGAATAATCAAACAATATATGTACGCCTATCTGATGAGCGGTACCAAACGCGAAATTTCGTCAAAGTCATTCATATACTATATATCATTAAATATGTAGTTGTTCCCTAAAAGATCATTAGTAGACCATTGATGTATGAAAATATCATTAGTTCTAACCCAGTTTTCAAATAAATAGTCTAGCAACGGGCATCTTACCTGACCGGATAAACTTAGCCCACTAGCGGAACGTTTTGATCAATTGCTTCTCTGATTTGTAAGGTCAATCGGAAAAATACCAACTTATCTCCTCATTCATAAATAATGTTCATGCGATTCGAAGAATGAAATATGCATTGGCAAATGTTGCGGCTTACGTTGCACTACTACCAGTGACAAAAAGCAGATTACTCTCCAATTAGTCAAGTTTGTTTTACCTTGGTATGATATTATCAGTCTTTTGTTGATTCAGATGAAAATACATTGTGCTTTTTCGTTAGTACAGACAATAAGAATGCTCTCCCGCATGGTTAGAACTGCCGGATATTTGACCATCAGTTTAATTTACTGTCAACTGTGCTAATCAACTTGACGGTTGTAAATGGTGCGGCTATTGGTTTCGAATTTCAAGCGGTTCATACTCAACCTGAACTNCGCATGTCACCTGTGGTGTGCTACCGATATCAATGTGACTAAAGTTGCCACGATTTACATTCAATTGATGTTTGAACGCTTCGTGAATAACACTTTAGTTCAATCAGTCAAACTAATCATTGCTAAATTCACGATTGTTAAACTCGGTATATTGCATACATCGTGACCGAAATTCCTGGATGACTCACGCATTCAGAGGTCCAAATTACAGACAAACTGAATGAGAAGTAATTCAGTACAAATCATTCCTATTCGAACTTTATTTGAATCTCAACAAACCTTGAGCGATCATAATGATGATGATTCGGTGAATATATTTTTCCGGTTTGGGATGTGTTTAATTTTCGCGAATCGCGCATTAACGCTGATAGTCTAAATGATTTTAGAACCCGGGGATTCGAAAACTGGGATGACACATCGGGAATAAACATCGGGAATACAAGTACGGAGGGAATGCCGAATAAGCATATAGTTGATAAGCGACAAGAACAGCAAAACCATTTGATTCCTTGTAAGATGAGTTTGTTCAGCTATGCGGTCACCAGTTGCTATTTACTAGTTGCCTTTCCGAGTGTCTTGTTAATCTCATTTATTCTTAGTTCCTGATCCACTGACGTAAAATATCGTGCTTGCAGTTTATTAGACCCTTAGCTCATTCAATCTACAGTTAGTTGGAGCATTCCAATTTCACAAGCACAAAATAATCAACAAATTCTAAACATGTTCTGGTTGGCTGATATTGTTCAATGATGAGAGCATCACCCCCTGTTCAACTTTGAGCGTTTCGGGTGACGCGGAAAATGATAGAATGCTTTCAACAGTTGTCTGGAGCTAAATTTGACTTCTATGAAAACAGAAGGTTTTCCCGTATTTTGGCAATTATATCATCGCTCGCCCTTCGATTGGCTACATTACGTTCTGTGTGCTCGTCGTTTCATTGGGTTTTATTGTTACCTCGATGTCAAACATGTTCCGGACCCGTACCTACTCTCGTCAGGATATCCTTAGATTGAAATTTGTTAATTCATAGTTCAGTTCAGTTCAGTTCTTACAACCCTTACTATGCACTTTCGTGCTTCGGTTTTTGTAGCTGTCTTTTGGTTGCCCATTTGGATAAAACAGTAAAATGATGAGTAGAATACTGAGAACAGACTCAAACGGAAGATAACGCATTTACATAGACTGGAGTTACAAAAATAATGAGTAGATGGAAGAGCGCCACTGTTTGCGACACTTACACTAATAATATGCTTGGAGAATCTGACGATCATGCTTCTATCAAGAAGCGCAAGCGTGCTGGATGACGGTGTGCGTTTAATAGCACCCCTCCTGCTAAGATGACCGTGCCGTCAGTGATCAGCACCAACGTTCGCTCACTCTTTGCAAAGATCTCGGATTTAACTTCCTCACTGAACACACGCATCCATTTTAACACGTGTCGTATGCATACAAGAAACCTGGTTAAATCAAAACGTTGAGAATGCTCTCGTGCAGATAAATGGCTTCGACTGTTACCGACAGGATAGACAACGTAGCAGGAAGAAAACTGGAGGCGAACGTACATCAAAACTTCTTAGTGTGGCAAGTCAGAAGTGGTATTCAGCTATTCTGAAAAATCCATTGACTGTTTATCCGTTCATCGTCATCCCAGATTCTCTGGATATAGAAGTACAATTATTACTTATGTGTATATACCTACTTCGTGCTCTTAATCAGATATATCTCCTTTCTTTGATCATTACATCCCGTTTTGAGTTCCAATATTAGATGAGAACCTTCATTTGGCTGTTGGTGACTTCAACCATGCAAGCAGTTTCCTTTTGCTTTCTTTTGGCTTGTCCGATTTGTCTCATTCACCTATCGGAAGCAGCTCTATACTTGACCGGGTAATCACAAACCATCCCACTTTGCTTTTGCTCAAACTAATGGCCCTAGTCGCTACCAGTGATCATTGTGTTCACCTCTCAAGACCAAAGATATACTCCCGCTCTGCATATCCAACATTCATATGATCAAACCAGATAAGATTTCATCTCCGTAACTTTTCATCAACCCGCATTTCTCTTTTCTGCCGTTCCATAATAATTGCCCAATCTTGGTTTGCTTCTTGCTCATCACTCCTAACTGTGTCAGTCTTTTCACCGAAACGATGAAATCGAATTTCCATTTTTGCTGTGCCATGGATACGCTGTTTGTTTGCAAACGGCAAAATTGCATCTCCTCGCTTGAACTCACTACGAAGGCAAAAGGAACGATCCTATAAATCTCACCATCCATCTGCTGTAAAGTACGACTCTAACTTAATTAAGGCTGAGATGACACATGTAAACAAGACGTTCTCTTCCTAAATCCTGTAAACGAAAAACTCAAGGCTTCTATGGCAGGGAATTCGTTTTGTCTGTTGACAGAGAAGAAAAAACGTGAACAGTGACGTTGATGCAAATAGCCTCAACACTGCATTTGTTCATCCGTCTAACGATAACCAAATAACCTCTTTCTCATGTGAGGTTTCTAATTCCGATCTGTTCCCTTTCCACAATGATGACGTATTTTAGCTTCTATGTTCCCCGAAGTCACCGTCATCTGCGGGCCCTGGTGGTTTTGCTCCAGCGTTTCTGAAGTTCGGAGCAGCCCCTCTAACTAGCATGATGACATCCCTCATCAACGAGTCTCTTTGTGCACAGATGATACCCGATCTCTGGCCACCAGTGACCATAATACCTGTTTCAAAAACCTCATCCTCGACCGTTCTTACAAAACGTTTTCGTCCCATCGCAGTGATGTCTGTAGTTCTAAAGTTGACTGAGAAACCCATCCTGAGTTGCTTACAGTCACTTGTCACCATTCCCCATGATCCTCTTCAGTTTGCTTATAAACTCAACAGATCCGCTTTGGATGCTGCGTCTACTCTGGTTCATTTTATATGCAAATCATTGAACAGCTCTGCCAGATCTGTTCGTTGCGTTTTTCTCGATTATTCGTCTGCTTTTGATTCTGTTTCCCGGTCATCCCTCCTTTTTAAGCTTGAATCTTTTGGCACCCAAAGACAGCTGCTTTCATGGTTTTCTGATTATTTCACCCAAAAAAATCCAGTTCACAAAGCTGGTCAGGAACACCTCAATTCCCCTAGTCAATAACCCTAGTGTGCTTCGAGGTTCTGCCCTCTCTCCGTATCTTTTCTCTGCTTTCATTAGTGATCTTTCAGTTTCACACCCTGCTCATAACTAAAAATATGCTGACGATGTCGCCTTGTGTCAGACCGTTTCTTCTTCTTCGGAGTTTTTCTCACTCACTGAAAATGTGTCCCGAATCGAACAGTTTTTAAACCAATCTGGCCTTAATCTTAACACATCCAAGTGCTTGGAGTGCATTTTTAGTTCTCCCCGCTCTACATTCCCGTCAGACTCTGTAACCCTTAATGGTAACCTTTTACCTAGAGTGACCTCAGCCAAATAATCCTCGGTGGTTGACACACATTCACAACTGTATGGGAAAATGTCGGCGCCTCTCCTGTCAGCTTCGGAAGCTCAGACAATTTCGCACTCCCCAAAACGTTTTGTTCTCATTTGGTAAACAATGTGTTCTCCCTATTTTACTTTACTGCTCCCTGTAGTGTTTCCCAGTCTATTGAATCAAGACTTTAAAACTGTCCATCGTGGATTAATGATAATAAACCGTGCATCTTTAATTTCTGCCGAGTCGGTAATCACAGAACTTCTTAATGATTATATGAAGTCTTGTGTGACCTTTGCCAATAAGATTCCATCGACTCTTCTCATCCTTTACATTTTGACTTATTTTCTCGTCGCTCGTTCCTCTTATCGATATCTAACCTCTCGAAAAAACATTTATAAAAGCTCCCCTGTACCATACCTGGCTCGAATCTTGACCAACAAGGAACGAGTTACAAATGAATTACGTCAATCTTCACTTAAATGAATAAAAGTTCAGAAACATTTTTACACAGCACTCTATTGAATTTGTTTATACTTCCATAGTTTCTCCGGTGTGACGATCAATGTACAATTTTCAACCGAATTGTAAGCATATCTCAGCTTGCAAAGGTTATACAAATACAAAAGCATGCTATCCCACAATCTGCTCACTCGTCGCCAGTGCTGATCACTCTATTTGCTCTTCAACTGGGAGCTAAATAAAGGCTCGGTGGAAACTTTCAATAATGGAGCTTTAACTGCATCGCCGTCCACTATAGAGGCAGCATCTTTGATATTTCTTCTCTTCTGATTGTTCAGCGGTGTCATCCATCTGAGATTTCCTATACGGGCAAATCGTAAATATTTTTCAGCTTAACCTATGCGAAAGAACATTGATCTGTTGACAAAACTGAAACATTTATTTCCTGAGATAAACTTGAAGAGAAAGCTTAACAAGCTAGGTAGCAAGATTTATGCCAAGGTAGAATCCGCTACATCTCAACTGATACCGTACGGCAGAAAACTACAGGTTATATCGTTGAACAGTATATCAGGTTACACACGAATACGATAGGGACGAATCATCATACTTTTAATACTGTCAGTGTAGTGACAGTGTGACTGGCAGTTCTCTTGCACACACAGGCCACGTCTCTATCTACTGATTGCAACTGACTCCTCAAACCTAAGCAGCCGAAGGTTAGTGTTAGCATAAGTGATCTTAAATCGGTTTGTCGGGTCCGGACCATGATTCGATATCAACAACTGTCGAGCGATAGACGACGTGAGCTGTTTGTGTGTTTGGTGGCCTTGGGTAAGGATGGAGTTTGGTAGTGGTGTAATGTTATTGAGTGTGTTAATGATGGGTGATGCATGTGTGTGTGTTTGAGGGGTCAAATTGGAGAATTACCTTTGACCACGTGATTCGGTCATTGGGTATCAAACCCAACATGGGATGTGCTCTTGGATCCGTGTATGCAATTGACTACCTGTTCTGCCAATGTAAGACGGTTCGCGTCCACATTCAAACTGGAAAGTGACATGTGGTTTGGCGGATAGTGGCAGGGGTTGCTTTATGGGTGGAGTGGAGATGCGTTTGGTTGTGTACAGGACGATGACGTGGCAGCATTATGAGTGCTTTTTACCAAGTTTCTTAGTCGGTCGTGG